GGCGGGTTATGGTGGTTGTTAATAAACAAGAACTGATCACAAAAGCAAGATGAGATAATTTAAATAAGCTGTCATAACGTTTTTACTCAAATACCACAACTGCATGTCATTGTTGGATAATTATCACGCACTTAATTAAAAGTAACCAACAGGACCATGGTGATCAAAACTCTGTGAAACGCTCATGGCTTACATTTTCACGGTTGAATACGGTATTTAGCTTTCTAGCAGATTTTGGCAAACGGTCTTTGTTTGTATTTAAATTGCAAAAAATTGCTATAAAATTGAATAAATTTGTGACACAAAAGGACTTGAACGACATGCTAATAAGTTACTTCCTAGCACATCAATTTGTATAAAAGAAATCGCCAAACAGTAAAAGACGGTCGTAGCTGGAAAACATTAATAAAGGGCAAAAGTAAACTAAGAACGTGCTTAGAGGAATAAAGTAATCTTAATTGCCTTAATCACATGTAATTAGCACAGTCATCAATAAAGACTAATAAGAATGTTGGTAGGCGTCTGCAGCATTTAGCGAGGAACATGAAACGCTGGAATAATAAAGATTCCTTCCAGCTGTAATTGACAGCCGGACCTAAATTTAACCGCCCCAAAAACCGTATAAGGACGGGGGGGAAATATTGATCCTAAAAAAGGCCAAATTCATCGTACAATATAATTTTAACAAGGTTTTGATCCTAATCCCGCCTCGCGTGTTTAATTGTTGCCGTTTGAACTGACATTACAAAAATCGGTATTTAGCTATCAGTTTTGTTAGCTTTCAAGTCCAATTTAGTCAGATCCGGGTTCATGAGTTCAAACTCAGAAAGGCCCTTGTGGTTTGCGCTGTAAATCTATTAAGCCCCCAAACTATTATTTGGATCTATTAAGCCCCTATGTTTTTTATTTTGAATCTATTTAGCCCTTATGGTGTTTCTCCATAACTAAAAAATGGTATTTTTGTCTTATTGAATCTACTTTTTAGTTATGGAGAAACACCATAGGGACTAAATAGATTCAAAATAAAAAATATAGGGGCTTAATAGATCCAAATAATAGTCTGAGGGCTTAATAGATTTATGACGCAAACCATAGGGGTCTTTCTGAGTTTGAACTCGGGTTCATCTCACATGGAAATTCACTATTAATAACTTCACTAAAAAATTCGCCTCAAAACGTTGGCACTACCAATAATTAATTGCACCTTAACTACTGAGTAATCCACCATTTTCAGTCCATTTCATACCCCTCAACTATCATCAAATACAACTAGCTAAATGTGAAAAGAAAATCACCCCCGCAACATTAAGATTGGGAAAATGTACCATTAGGGCTGCTTTAAGTAATTAAAAGCTTGCTAAACCGAGAATTCAGCGATTGGTCTCAGCAAAAGGACAAGCCGTGGAT